CAAGAAAATGGACGATTTGTCAGTATGGCTTCTCTTCAAGGTCATTTCATTCGACACACGACCCCTGAAGAAGCCAGCCGAACGCTGGATGAAGCACTCGCCAAAACATAATTAGAGATATTATAGTTGATATTTCCTAATTTATTATATCAGAGAGTATAATGATTAAGTTCAATGCTTGGTTTGGGTAAAGTCATGGTTTTGGTGAGGTTCAGAGTGGTTCTAAATTTTGGCATCTACATAGCCCGGTTTTTCCTTGGGTCTTGTGACAAACGCGCTCTCTACACTACCCTCAAACTTCAATAGTGCCATGAACGGCATAAATAATGCTTCAAACACGAAGAATGCGGTAAATAAGCCCAGTTCTGTTAACCAGAGTCCAGCCCAGCCCATTCTTGCACCTTCCAACAACTCACCAGCATCACAGAAAGTCCAAAGCAACGCGTCAGCAGCAACAAACAATGGTTCTACACGTACTACGAACGGCGACGTCAACTCTAATGGGACAAACAAGGGGAAGAAGGCCCCCGGACCGCCAATAAATTCCAGTGAGGTACAAGAGCTCGTCCAAAGCAGAATAGCCGCACTGGAAGGAGAGAAAGTTCAGGGCGGTGAGGAGGACAGACGTTCTGGTAATGTCAGACCTGTAAGCGTATGAATTAGAGCTCATGGTTGAACGTGATGATAGCTGAAGAAGCTCGAAAAACCCTGAAAGGGATGAACCTTCAACAGCTCCATACGAAATACGTGGAACTGGTGCGGCTCCTGTCCTCGAATTAGGAAATCAATTGAACGCTTTCCAGTACCAGGACTTCCGGAGGCAAGAACGCGAGCATACTAAAGAACGACAAAAGAATAAGAAAGAAGCTGATGCTTGTGAGGCCCTCGTTCCCCTATTGGAACTCTTGCTGATTCGTTCTCAAGCCAAAACTGCCCTCACGAATGTACAGAAGCTGAAATCCAAGACTGATGCAGTAGTGAGAGATATGCAGAAGGTGGGACAACAGTGACGATATTCTACGCAAACGCTTATCGTGATATTTCCAGCAAAACAAGGATCTCAGGGTTAGTCCGATCAATGCAGGATACCTCTCTTTAACCGATTCCTTTAGGAAGAGAATAAGCGGATTAAGAACTCGTTACATCAAGCTGAAGTTCAGGTGATTAAATTCCCTCGGTCGTGTTTATCTATACCCTCCCGGTCGTGTGATATGACGACCAACAGCCCTCTCCATCT